AATTCAACAATACATATTTAAAAACTCAATAAACTAGAGAAGAAAAAGTCTCATATAGTGAAAAAGAAATAAACAAATCAATGAAGGAAGAAAAAATAAGTAAAAATTTCAAAAATGTGGTGATTAAGAAATATAATTGCAAAGTGATGGCGGTATAAGTTTTATTTGCATAATACAATGCATGAATCATTTGTACATTCATTACTTTGCAAATTGCTTTTCCTACTCTCTATTTTTTTGATATTCTCCCAAAAATAATCAAGATTTTTACTAAAAACAATTGACATTCTTTAAGAGAATATTGGGATTGCCAATTGAACTAATTTTCATATTGTTCATTTTATGTAATTTTTTTTAATAATTATTTAATTATACATATGATTTTGTATATTTCAAGGTACACCTCTGTGCTCTTAAAACTGAGAGGAAGCTTAACGATAATGCAATGGTTCACCACATTTTACTCTCTCTCTCTCTCTCTCTCTCTCTATATATATATATATTAAATATATGTGATTGAGAAATGTTGTTTGATTGTGTTTTTCTAATCAATCACAAGCCAAATGATGTCTAAGTCCAAAATTTTTTTATTTATTCATTTGATTTGATTACTCATTTTTGTTAAAAGTATAAATATAACTAATTTGACACCAACCGCTCGGAGTTGCCATCCTAAGGAATGTTATCAACACCCAAATTAATAGTTAAAAACAAGATATTATATAATAATAAAAAATGGATTGCTCATTTTATTTTCAGCAATTATATTCACAGGAGTGTTGGGCTATCTCTTTCCAAAACTTGTATCCAAGTGTTTCATGTGTGTTCTAATAAAAGTTTTGTTTGAGTTCCATTTTAAACATCTTACAATTTTTTGGGGATAAATTACACTGCTCTATCTTAAAATTTAGAAAAGATACTATTTATACTAGCATCTCTTTTATTAAAGATAAATGGATCGAACTAACGCAAATGATTTGAATACACAAAAATAAATAAAATAAAGTATATGTTTCAGTTTAAAAAAGATGATAATATCAATTTTTTATTTATATAACTAATGACATTATGATTTAAAAAAATGAGGCTAATGTTATTTAAATTAAAACTTTAAAGGAGTCTAATGTAATTATGACAAATTTATAAAAACTTATTGTATTTTATCCAAGTCTCATAAAAAAAATCAATATAATTTACCTTTTATTTTTTGTCTGACTTTCACAAAGTGTGAGAGTTGAAAAGTTGTTTAAATATCGTTACTCTTGATTTTTTGTTCTCCTTGTGCAATCGGTTTAAGGTTGTTGTGATCTGGCCTAACATATTGGATTTGTGGATCACAAGCTTATTTTAGAAAACTATGTGATTTCGAAAAATATGTTGCAAAAAATAAAAATACATTTTGGTTCTCTTTGATTATGTTTAGATTTTAGATTTATGGAAGAATATGAAGAAGGACAAAAATAAAAAAAGAATAAAAAAAACATATATATAGTAGAAGCTATTTTTTTCTTTCTTTTGTTTTCTTTCTAGTTGGATTAGTAAAATGAAAAGAAATTGAATAAATATGTGTTAAACAAAGGGACAAATTGTTTAATTACCTTAAAAAATGAGTATGTATAAATAATTTAAAAGAAGGAAATGAGTATGAATAAATATAATTGAATGTGCATCATTGTTTTTTTGGTGAAAAATATGAATAAGGAAATATCCAAGGAGTTACCTATACTTTTCTCTCATTTATTGATTTTGGTAGTTACCAAATCAAATGCATAGGAGGCACTTCAAAGAAAATGAAAATAACAAATGTTGTATTGAATGGTTTTTTTTGTTCTTCTTATAATAGTATTTACTATCTGATGACCAAATATGTTTGGTTCTCAGGTATAAAACCTCAATGAACAATAAATGTTGCATACAACAATTCAATCCAGAAATTTTGGTTATATTGGCTTTGAACAGTTTGTCATGAAGCATTGAAATTTCTTTAATGCTAATGAAAATAACATTTGATTTAACATTAACGTCATATCATCATATCGCATTTGTCTTGGAAAAAAAAAAAGTGTTACATTCTCAAAATCATGTCATCCAATTTTTTTAAAACAAATAAAATCCGATCATATGTTACCGATTTTTAATCAATTATCTAATTTTTTTTTTTTTATATATATTTTGCATCAATGCTTCCTTCAGTTTGTTTACCAAAATAAACTGTTAGGATCATCCATATTTGGATCCAAAATAAGCGCCATGGAAGTTCAAGGCACAACAAGCACCCCAAATCCTTTCAAATTGTGGTCTTGCGTTAATCTCCAACTGTAATACTTCTATTTTTAGTCTCTATCCAAAAACAAAAACAAAAACAAAAACATAAACATAAATTAAATGCAACATATAATTATATTTCGTATTGTATTTTCTCATTTCTACACATAAATAAATAAATCTCATATATATTTATTAATTAATATGAATCTTTTTATCTTATGTCTGTGATTGATAATTTTCATTAAGAAATATCAATATTATAAGCTAGTGGGTGAAGACTTAAACCTAACCTTTTGGTGTGATATTAAATAAATACCAAACCTTTACTAGATGAATATTTGCCTGTCACATTCTTCACCAAGCCATACAATATGAGACACCATCCAAAGAAACCACAGTGTAAGAGTTGAGACCAAACATAATTGAAAACACACAAAAATGATAAATAAATCAAGCACAAATATACAGCAAGATTTATTTAATTTTCTCACATCACTAAAAATATAAGCAAGATTTACACCAAAATTAGTCTAGTTAATGGGGTCTGGAAGGAGTAAACTGTAGTCTCAGAGGGGTGTGTTTTCCAGTTCAAAATTTTAAAAATATTTTTTAACTCAAGGTTTTGAAATACACTTGCCATTCATTTTTCTAAAATATTCTTCTTTGTTTTTATCACTCGGTAGAAAGCTCAAACTGTCACAAAACCCAAATTAGAAAAGAATGTTTAAGGTTGATTTTTTACTAATTTTTGTTGGGTTTTTTTTTTCATTTTTACTGATTTTTTTTTTTTAAAAAAAAAATCATTTTTGAGTTCAACTCGACTAGACTCGGATAAAAAAAATTGAGAAAAGGACCCCAATAAAAGAATTGAAAACAGTTAAAAAAAATTTAGTGAACTTTTTTTTGGAGTTCTTCAATTTTTGTAAATTTTTAGATTCGTCTACACAATGCAGACTTTTTTTTTTTTTTTTAACGACACAATGCAGACTTGAAAAGTAAAATTTTAACATAATTTTGAAAATTTGTCAAATTTTTTTTTTAATAAAAAATGTTGACTTTTTAGTTGTTTGCTAAACGTTAGCTGGGCTAGGCTGGGTTCAAGCCGGGCTAGGCTGGGTTTAATAAGAAATTTCGTGTATACTCAAGCCTGACCCAACCCAAACATCAAGCCAATATTGGCCCCGTTTGGTGTAACTGTTAAAACAGCTTATAGATTATAACTTAACAGATTATAGATTATGACTTTAATCAGAAGTTGTAAAAAATTAGTGAACTTTTTTTTGGAGTTCTTCAATTTTTGTAAATTTTTAGATTCGTCTACACAATGCAGACTTTTTTTTTTTTGAACGACACAATGCAGACTTGAAAAGTAAAATTTTAACATAATTTTGAAAATTTGTCAAATTTTCTTTTTAATAAAAAATGTTGACTTTTTAGTTGTTTGCTAAACGTCAGCTGGGCGAGGCTGGGTTCAAGCCGGGCTAACACCACCTAATAAGAAATTTCGTGTATACTCAAGCCTGACCCAACCCAAACATCAAGCCAATATTGGCCCCGTTTGGTGTAACTGTTAAAACAGCTTATAGATTATAACTTAACAGATTATAGATTATGACTTTAATCAGAAGTTGTTAATCTGTTTGGTGTAGCTGTTGAATTATAGATTTAAGTTGCTGAGTAGTGTTTGTTAAATAAGCTGTGAAATAGCTTTTTCAATTAATTTTTATTTTTTGTTTGTCTACATTTCTCATAAATAATAATAATAATAATCTATAATCCATTTGAGTCTTTTTCTATTTTTAAAAAAATAAAAAATAAAAAAATTTAAGAGTATAACCATAAATTAACATGTCCACAGCAGAAGCTGATAATCAGAAGCAATGGGTGAGCAGCTTCTCAGAATCAGCTTTTTTGAGTTAAAATAAGCTGTTAGAATCAGAAGCTGTTTGAAATAAGTTTAACCAAACAATCCAAAATAACTTTTTCAAAGCTAAAAGCCATAAGTTGGCTCTGAAAAACTAAAATAAACACCCCCATTATTAAGGTATTTTACCAGCCGATCCCAATAATTGAATCTATTACCCATTAGGTCCTAAGTTTCTATCTCATGCACCAAAAAGTCTTGTTATATTTTTTTTTTATCCCAATTTTCTCCCTGTTGTTATACTGTCAGAGCCATTAATGAATTAGTGGTGTTAGTGTGAATGAGAACTGCTAGAGCCATTGACGACTTCATTGGTGTTAGTAAACATGAAAACTGCCTTTGTGGCTCTTGAATTTGAGAGAGATGGTGTTAAATCTGAGAGAGATCAAGAAAATCGACATGAATGGAAATGGCGTGTGTCAACATTGACGAGTTCGAAAGCCATTCATGAATTTGTTGGTGTTGGTGAACATGAGAACTGTCTCTGTGGCCCTTGGATTTTAGAGAGATAATGTTAGATCTAAGAGAGATCAAGAAAATCGACATGAATGGAAATGGGTGTGTCGACATTGGCGAGTTTGGAGCTCTGTATTATTTAAACCAGTGATAAATTTTTTTAAGTCGGTGATAAATTTGTTTAAGCTAGTGATAAATTTATCACTGATGAATTTGTTAAAAAATTTACAAATAGCAGACTAGATTTGAGAGAGAGAGAGATTGAGGGCATCACAACAAATTTGTCACTGAATTAAGTATCAAATTTATTAGATCAGTTACACGTCTGTAAAAAAATCAACAACATCGTTCAATGCACGAATTGGACACTTTGAATCCCAAACCAGTGATGAAGGAAGATGGTGGCAACAACGATGTCGAAGATGGTAGATTAGTGATGGAGGAAGATAGTGGCAACGACAATGTCGAAGATGGTAGATCGATGATGGAGGGTTATGGTGTTGAAGCTAGCAAATGAATGATGGGGGAGGAGCACGGTGATGGCAACGAAAGAGAAGGAGATGATGGTTAGTAATGGATGAGGAGGAGGGAATGGTGTGCCAATGACAGAAATAAGAGGGGGAGAGAGAGAGAGAGAGAGAGGGGGATGTGTTTGGGTTAAGGATAAAATCACTCAACTGAATTTAAGGGGTAAAAATGGAAGATGGGCTAAATTATTTTGGATCAGGACTTTCTAGGAATTAAGTCCGGTTTAAAGGACCGGCCCGTAACTCCCCCATATTATTGTCGCAAGCCTGGCTAAACCCAAATTTTGGCCAAATATTATCATGGGACACTTATAGACCGGCCATATTCACCGAACTTATTTCCCTATAAGTCTTATTCAGTTTTTTACCTATCAATATCTCCAAATTGCCCTTTCTCATCCATAAGATCACTACCGTGGCACCTTACCACTGACAACTATTGACAATCTCCGACAACCACCGACGACCACTTCCAACTGTCGGCGACTACCACCAACCTCCGACGACCCTTTTGGCCGCTATCTTTGACTACTCGTGACCATTACTAGCCTCCAACAACTATCTCTGACAATATATTTTTGGCCAATTTTGATCTCCAATACATCAATACCACCACCATCTTCTCAGATTTAAAGGCGACTAGAGAAAATGAGAAGAAGAATGATAAAGAAAATAAAGGAGAGGGATAAGGAGTCCTCACTAGAAGTTGTAGCGACCCTAATTTTTCTTAAGTCATTATTTATTATTATTACTTTATTTTATTTTTGACTTTATTAATTGCGTGGTCACATGAAAATTTAATGTGTTGTTTAATTAATTTAATGTGATAGCTAATTATATAAAATTAATCCGAATATTTATATATTTATATATTTTATGTATAAAAAAAGTGTTTTTTTTATATATTGATAAATAATATATCATATTTATATATGTTGTATTTATGTTGTACTTGTATTATATAATATAATAGCTATTAGGTTATACTCATGGCAGCTGCCTTTAGGAAAGTAGAAGAAAAAGAGAGAGAGAGAGAGAGAGAGAGAGAGAGAGAGAGAGAGTTTAACCTGCAAAGAAAAGAAAGCCGAGAGGGAGAGAAAGAGAAAAGAGAGATAACGAGGAGAAAGAGGGAAGGGGAGAAAGAAAGGGTTAGGGTTTTATTTTGGTGGCTTCATAAATTCTTTAAGTATTTTCTTGATCTTCAAAAAAATAATTATGAGTGCAAAACCCACTTCCCTTAATTTATGTTTATTTCGTTTTTATTTATTTGATATTGGTTTGATATTATATTTGCATAAAGATGATGGATTGGTTTTAATTGTTTTGTTTAGTTGTGTATGTAAGGTTTACGATTTTTATATGTATTTATTTTATGGTTGTAATCACACTCATGGATATATGAAATTAAAATAAATTAGGAACCCATAGATAATTCTGAATACTCCACCATGACTCCATGGATTGTTGTTTTAATTGAATTCTTTTAAGAAAGAGTGTATAAAAAAAAAGTGAGGATTTTGAGATTTATTTGAATGTCTTAGGCTCGGCATTGTTATATTTGTTCTCATAAGTAGATGAGGTATTATGTATATATATTGTTGCCTTGTTTTCAGGAGTAGACGAGTGCTTTGATTTATGCGCGTACGTATATGCTAACTATTCGAGGAGTGTAGGTCAAACATGGTATGATATCCCTGTGTAAGTTTGGCTTCGAAGCGGTGTTAGGTATACGGGAGGCACATGAGATATATAGGCTGAAAATGAAGGGCCGAAGTGGTGGAGTTAAGGTATAAAAAATTAAATATGAACTTATTGATATAGTTTGAATTATTTTGATTGATACATCTGGAAAAATAGAAAATGACCTCATTAAATTACGAGATTTGGGTAGAGGCATGTATACGTAATTCTAGACAACTTTTATATTTTAACTTTATACTAAAAAGATCGATTAGAACTTATAATCGAATGATCTTGATTACAATAGTTTTTATTCATTTTAGCAATGCAGATTTTAGATGTTGTTTTAACCCACGAAAAGAGCTCATTTTTTTTTTTATTTCGCATACACTGAAGTAAAACATTATTCTGAACACTTGTCGTGTTTTGAACTTATCCAAAAAAAAAATCATTTTAGGACAATTTCTTTTCATTTTCAGTTCCAGATTTTTTGATCGAATTTCGTCTAGGTTCTTCTATTAAATTTTTTTCTCAACCTATTCAGTTTTTACCAAATTCATTCACGCTTTCTTTTAGAAAATTTGATTCTGTACAACTTTTGTTCTTTGAGTTTTGGTCAATTCGAATAATTTAAGCATGAAACAGTGCGTTTTTATACTTCTTCAGCAATTTATTTATGATTAAATCATACTAACTTTATTTTTTTGTAGAATGATGGGTCTTACTAATTTTTTATGCAAGGCTAACCTACCATATTTTTTTATGTTTATTTTGTTATTTTGTACTCAATTTATATTTAGTTGTGCACGGCGAAGTTGATTTCACCATGGAAACAATTAGATCGATATAGATCTAGAACATTTAAGGTCACCAGAAAAATGATAGATAGTAAGGATAATAGGGATGGAGGATAATGACAGCAACGATGATGCATCTGCGACAGTGGAGTGTAAATCGAAGATGGTGAAGTGTAGATCGGCAACGGTAGAGTATCGATCGGCGACGTCAAAGTGTAGATCAATGACGGCTGAGGTGGTCAGAGATGGAGGAGTGTAGATCGGTGATGATGGATATAGTTGGTGAACGACAGTGGTGGTAGCGGTAACCGGTGAACACAGCGATGTCCGATGATGGGTGATAGTGGCAGTAGGGGTAGCAAATGGATGACCATAGCGACGATGGTGATATGGAAATAGTGGCAGTTTGAAACTCTTTAAAGAAATGGTGTAGAGAGAAAATGGATGAGGAAAAAGAGTTTTCCAGAAAAAATAGTATGTTAGGTTTTTGTTCTTAGTAATCCCGTTTGAAAAAAATTCTTTTAGTTATAATTTTATTGGCTCTTTTATTTAAGTGAAGCTATATATGTTTAGATGCGAATCCAACTCGAATTGTTCTTATCCAGAGGAGTTTGTGATCTCAATCCTATCATGTTTGTCACTTCGTTGACTATGTCAGGGATCAAAGTTGTTTTTCCACTCGACCGGCCATTCCTGCGTTTGAGCGAAGATCGCGACCTTTTAGAAGTTTCACTTACCTACAAAAGTACTGGGAGTTGTTTTTTTCTGTTCAAGCGGCCATTCTTGCACTCGAATAGAGATCGCGGCCCTGTTTTCTATAAATATGTGTTTCAATTCGATTTTAGGTTTACGGCTTCCAGATCTTCTTCTTGGATATTAGGATTTTCTTATGGAGCTTATTTGCTTGTTTCCCTTGATATTTGTAAGAGTTTTAATCATGAATTGAGTGGATTATACCAAAGGGTTTGTTTGTTTTATTTATTCAATACAAAAGAGAAAGTTGTTCTTCGGTGTATTCCGGGAAATTTGGGCTTGAAGGTTTGGTAGATTCTGGAGTGGCTCATTGTAGATTCAACATCGGCGTTATAGATTCAACGTTGTATAAGCCAATTTCGAGGTGAAGACGGGGCTGGAAAAGACACATAGGGGTCGGTTCGATTCTAGCGTAATTCACTAGGTAATTGAGAGTAGACTTACGTAATTTCTTTATGTCTTCTTAGTAGATTGTTTTGTGACTTTTACTCATGGTTTTTTTTATCACAACTAGAGGTGCTCCAATTGTGATTTTTTTCCACGTAAAATCGTTGTGTCGATATATTTTTGATTGATTGATTGTGATTGTTATTTATTGCTTAAAATTGATATATAATTACAAATCAATATCTAGGGGATTTTTAAATTTTTCATAGTAGACAGAGAGAAGATAACAAAAAAAAGTAATGAGAATTAATAAATTCAATAAAGGTAATATAAGCATTTTAGGACTTAATCATATATTTAAAAACTCAACTTGTTTGGTTTTGGTTTTTAAAAAACAGTTTTTAAAAAATTTACTTTTTTATTTTTCGCATTTTAATGTTTTTAATATTTTAAGCAATTTTTTTTATTTTTGGACGCACTTAACATAAATACACTTAAAAAGTATAATATTTGTGAAATTGTTTTTAAAAACATTCACTAAATACAAAAAATACAACAACAAAAAATTGAAAATTTAGTACATTTTTCGTATTTTTGTGTATTTATTAATTTTTTGAAATATTTTTCACAAATATTTTACTATTTAGATACATCTATAAGTAAGGTGCATCTCAAAAAAATTTAAAAAAAAAAATTGCTTAAAATTTTATAAATATTCACTAAAAATAAAAAAATACAAAAAAAATAAAAATAAAAAACTTAATTTTCTGAAAACTGAAACTAAACATACTGATAATATTGAAGTCTACTTAATGAGGCTGACATGCAATTAACCATGTTATGGTCTTTATAATGAAAACATTTTGCCTCCAGTAAGACTTAAACCAAATGTTCTAACATATGCCCAAATTAGATGATCTGCAATGTTGATTTTTAAGTCTGAAATATATATATATATATATATATCAAATATTTTACTATTTAGATACATCTATAAGTAAGGTGCATCTCAAAAAAATTTTAAAAAAAATTGCTTAAAATTTTACACATATTCACTAAAAATAAAAAATACAAAAAAAATAAAAATAAAAAATTCAATTTTCTGAAAACTGAAACTAAACATACTGATAATATTGAAGTCTACTTTAATGAGGCTGACATGCAATTAACCATGTTATGGTCTTTATAATGAAAACATTTTGCCTCCAGTAAGACTTAAACCAAATGTTCTAACATATGCCCAAATTAGATGATCTGCAATGTTGATTTTTAAGTCTGAAATATATATATATATATATATATATCTATCTAAAAGTTAAAAAAACTAAA